AGCCACAGGTACAGATGGCTTGCCAAACCAGATATTTCTTTGCGAACTTTGACAGTTTCATGTGCTTGAAAACATCTGCTACCTTTCCCCTTCCTTTTGCCGTATAAAACTCCTGTCCCGGAAGCTGCTTGTAGTCGGCTTTGACGTATGTTTCGTCGTCCATTACCACGCAGTCAAACTTCGTCAGCATCGTCGTGTACAGCCTCCGGGATCGCGCTTTGGCCGTCGTATTTTGTTTATCATCGCGATTTGGCGTCACTACCTTCTTGTAAGTCGATAGTCCGGCTCGTTTTTTGGCTCGATGCACGGTTGTAGACGATACACCCAGCTTATTTGCGGCATCTCGGAGAGAGAGGTTAGGGTTTCGCTTGAAACTACCGGCAACTCTCTTTGTCGTCTTAGCGGCTTCCGGTTTTCGATTTCCCTCCGATCCAGACTTCCTGGCTGTCGACAAACGTTCCCCAAACACTTTAATTACATTTGTAACGGTTGATTTGGCAACTTTTAGCGATTTTGCCAACTTTGCGTGCGAGTAGCTCGGATTCTCGCGATGCGCGAGCAAAATTTTGATACGCTGCTCTTCTTGCTTGGACGGCATTTTGACAACTGAAGAGTGAATTCCAAAATCAAAATAGGAGCAACATTCTACACACACACACCTTCAAAATGAGGGGTGTTCAGGTTTTTTAAATGCAAAATTGAAAGAAATACGTCAAGTTGATATTGACCAAATTTTGACCGTATCACCCTTTAGAAGGATTCTATAACATTCCCCAGAAAACCATTCCCCCGAAAACCATTCCTCAGAAAACCATTCCCCAGAATCTCATTCCCCAGAATGCACCATTCCCCAGAAAAGCATTCCTCATAATGAACCATTCCCCAGAAAACCATTCCCTAGAAAAGTATGCCATGTATTAGATTGACTATTTTTGTTTATTATAGTCACTCCTGGAATCTTCTTTCGCGTATATAAAAAAGAAGAGAGAAACTTCTTAATGGGTCAAGAGGTTTTAGGAGACCTTAATGGATCAAAAGGTTTTCCCTTCTTTGAAAATATAAGAAAAGAAAATAATTAATTCTTCGTATATCCGATAAAGAAGGGAATATTTCTTTCTTTGAATATAAAAAAGAGAAATTAATTAATTCTTTGGATGTATGAAAAAGAAGGTAATATAGCTTTTCGCAAGGGATTCGGGGTAATGACCATTTGGGATAATAACGTGTGGAATAATGTTATAAATTTGTAATCACGAGAAATTCTTCATCGCAGGTCGAACAATTCTTCGATAAGGTTTAACAGTTTCCGACTGGTTGAATTGGATTGCATAATAGACCATTTGACTTTTTAAATGATGAACGAAGTGCTCGAAAACTTGAAGGTTGTCATTTTCTAAAGAGCTATAAAATGGTTTGGAATTAATGAATACATAGTTCCATAAAAGTAAACGTAGTGTATCATCAATAGTAAAGTGAAACTAATCAGAGAGTTTTATCATGAAAAATATATTAAATCAAATGGGGGAAAAGTTGACTTCGGCAATACCTTAACCTATTATCGTCAGGGGGTAAACAAAGTCCTAGAGCACTCAAATTTGGCCAATAGTTGATCTGAAACACAATGTATCCACATGCCAAAATTGAGTTCTCAAGGACGTTGTTTACCCCCTGACGATAATAGGTTAAGGTATTGCCGAAGCCAACTTTTCCCCTGTGTATATTAAGCTGTTATGTAATATAAAACTGAAATATAATATCACATGACAAAAAAAAAGTGATAAATTACTAATTTTATTTAGTTTTCTTTTCTGGGGAATCGTACATTCTGGGGAATGGTGTACTTAGAAATTTACTTTTGATTTAACAATAATTGCGTTCAAACTAGCCTGACCTAACAAGGAGTTCGATTCCTCTGAGCGACGTCTGTTCCAAGACTTTTTACACTGTTTCCAGAGCTTAGCTAGAATTCTCTCAGGCTGTTCCTCTTGTGGTTTTGACTACAAGGATCAAGCTTTTTTGTAAGGTTCCATTATGTAATATCATCGACAGACATAATTGTTGTACCGTTGTACTGCTTTAATCTAATACCGCAATCAACGTACTAGATTGAATTAGTACAGCGGTACTAAAATCATGTATGCCATAAATTTAAGGCATTGTGTTGATCATCATCCAAGTCATTTGGATTTTTCATATAGTATGGGCTACCCGATGCTGGGTCATTAGGCCGAATTCCGGTAAAAAAATTTAACACTTGCGGAACAAGTCTGTGGTCTGAAAAAGAGAATAACCAGCACATAATATAAAGATAAACTAAGCTATTCTATATTAGACTCAAAGCGGCAATAATTCGACCGTGAGCATGCATGAGGGCGTATACGCGATGATCGATTCTCTTCATCGCTTTTCTCTTTGCATTGCTGCAGCTAAGCGAAACAATTTTCTAGAATTTGTTCAATGTAGATTTGTAACAGGTTGTATTGGCAAGCAAGAGTAAACGCACCGAGAAACATTAATTCTAGCAGGTTTTGTCCACTTCCCCTAGGGTATCTGGAATATGTCCGGACGTGGCCAATATAGTTCTTACGATCCTCAATATGACCGCCAATGGTGATGGCTCCGAATTATCATGTGATTTGATGTGTCGCATAATGGATTTTGATATAAAAAGGTTTTACAACTTCTCCGGGGATACCCGGAATATGTCCGAGTGTGGCTAATATGGTGCTGGTTACTCATCATGACTCTTATTGTTCTTAATTATCGAATTCTAATGCATGGTGGATTTGGCACGTTTTTGAAAATATCCTGTCTCAAGGCCATATCTCCGGAACCAGCGAAACGGTTCTAAAAACATTCAATAACGTTCTATGGGACCATGGTAGCTTTCTACTGTTCAATACTATACTAAACTAATGCAGCATCGTCATGGCATTGTGACTGATTTGCTTTTTTTTCTCATTAACGTTAAATGTAATCGCAAGTCAGTCCTACTCAGATTTTGGTCAAAAAATTAAAATTTCACGATATTTTATTTAATATTGTTTACTAGAAAACAAATATCAATAAATTTACTATGATTTTTCAAATATTTACATGAGAATTGCACTTCGTAACTTCGACTGCCATTATCTCAATGCCAACTTTTTCCATATGGGACTGATATACGATTAGAGGCAGTATAACTTATAACCACAACGCTGGGCGATCCCTGAAAAACGAAATTTGTTTTGTAACTACCGTTTGGTGCCCGTTTACTGCTCACTTTAGAGCAAAATCAAGTTCACATCTTCAGTTAAAATACTTTTCATACATATATTGAGCATATTTTTGCACTAGCTTGAAGCTTATTATCATTATGATTATATTGTGGATAAAATATAAAACATCCAAAACAATCCTGCTAAAATAGATTTCGAGACATATTAGTGCATGTAACCAGGGGTTCCATGCACCGTTCATGTCGTAGTGGAAATATTCACTTTTTAAATTGTCTCTCTTTTCTGTCCATTTAACGCATAATATGGTTTGTATGTTATTAAGGTATTAGATATTGATTAAACAATCGCCTTTGTTATGAAATATTGGTAGTAATATCTATTTTAAATTTATTTTTTGAGTGAGCGGTGAAGGGAACCCTTGATCGCTGTGGGGTCACCATTGACCGCTCATATGGATGTAAACAAAAGTAATTCGTTTCGGCAATAAATAGTGAAATAAAAGTGCCGATGGTTAAATATGATCAGCAGGCATCTTAAACGAGTGAATTGATCGGTTAAACGCATGTTTTAAACTCATGTTGGGTACTTTTTCAACAAATATTGAGCAAATAAGCGGTGAAAGGAAGAGATGAACTAGCCTTCGGCTAAAAATCTCTCAAATAAAGATTAAAAAAAAAGTGGTGAATGGAGATCAAGCGGTCAACGGGTACCACACGGTATAAGGTGTCTGTATTTACAATAGCTCTTCACAACAACTATGAATCGCGGATGAAGAGGTGGACCAGATTGATTTCAGAGCGTAAAATTCTACGACCAATACACGGCATGTTATTGCGGGAATGTAGCACGGATGCCGGAAGAGCGACAAGCGAAGATAAGGTTTAGAACAGACTTCATTGTTTACTTTTTTTTAATTTGAAGGAGACATTAGATAACTTCTAGACTAACATTTGAAAGGGGCGGAAGAGCCAACATGTAAACAAACCATATTTTGCCACATATAGAGAGAATAGTTCACAAACTACTCGATAAACACGAAAAAGTAGAAGAAAATATCACTTCAAATCATCAAAAAAGTTTCTTCTTACATGGCGTATTTCCAAATTTCAACTCTATGATACATCTGGTTGTTACGCCTTGCACCAGAACTACGAATTATATCGTTTTAATATGTCAAACGTATTGAGTCTGTAGTATCTAGTCACGCCCGATTCATTTGAAATGCATCCGATTGATAGTTCACGTGTAAACAACGAACAAAAAGAAGACCAAAAAATCTCCGGGCGTAATTCCACTCTCACAAAATTTGCGAACGAAGAACCAAGGCGGAACAACAAACAAAAAATCCCGAGGGTGTACTTCCACGGCGTATCACCAGTGTTGGCAGTTCAAAGGGTGGAAGATCCGGGGGGTAACAACATGTATGAAATTATCAGGGCGTATGATGTTTTCTTCTCGATTTCACGACAAAGAAAACTTTTTTTTAGTTTTTAGTGATGCATGATGATAGATTACACTATTAACTATATGTCAAGCTTATAAAATCATCCAGAAAATGGAAAGTCGTGAAATAGGATTAATTTTTAGGTCATCAAAATTCAGAAGCGATTTTCTCGATATGGTCATTTTGGAATTACGCCCTTTTCAAATGTTAGTCTAGACTTTACGTTCATGGCAACTGGAAGCGATTCGTGCAAGATCATCAAGCGTGAAAGAATTCTACTTTTAACGTAGAATGAGTTGCCCAAGTATCAAGTACGGTAGTATGTGATGACTTACCATTCGCTTTTCCATTTTACACTTAATATCTCTGGCAAGTGTGAAAAATGCTTCGTCCACATTAATGCTAGCTTTTGCCGAAGTTTCCATAAACTTGATACCGTACTCTACTGCTAACTGTTCACCTCGATCGCGGGTTACCTACAAAGTAAGAGTTTAGTCATAGTCCTTCAAATGTGTCCCACACACAAAAGGGGCTGTTCATAAACTACGTAGACAGTTTAAGGGGGGGGGGTAGCAATTATCCACGGCCCATACAAATAAAAAAATGTATTGACAATTGTCTACACAAGGGGAAGGGGGGTCAAGAATCCCAAAAAACTGTTTACGTAGTTAATGAACAGCCCTAAACCCGAGCAATCGGAAACTCACTTGTCGCTTCTCATTCAGCTCACATTTGTTCCCCAGAAGCATCTTTTCCACGTCGGCGGATGCGTTCTCTTCGATGTTCCTAATCCAGTTTTTGATGTTTTCGAACGACTTTTCCTGCGTGATGTCATACACAAGCATAATACCCATCGCACCCCGATAGTATGCCGTCGTGATCGTTCGGAAACGTTCCTGACCGGCTGTGTCCCTGCAAAAAGAAATAACGTTAAGTTGTGTGTGTTTTTTAGTAGAAAAAAACGTAGAGCTTACCAAATTTGCAACTTAATTTTCTTGCCATCTAATTCGATAGTTCTAATTTTGAAATCAATTCCTGGAAAGAGAAACAAATCTTAGATATTATTATTTGAAATCGATAGGCATAACAATCATCATCATAATGGAAATAATGGCTTTATGCCAAACAGCCGTGGGGCTGTTCATAAACTACGTAGACAGATTTTTGGGATTCTTGACCTCCCCCCCCTCCCCCTGCCTAGACAATTTTCCATACAAAATTTTTAAAATTTGTATGGGCCGTGGATAATTGTCAACCCCCCCCTAAACTGTTCATGTTTAATGAATTTTCAGTTAAATTATATTCATGCCAAATGGAATGGTCCCCTTTTTCGTCGATTACATGATTTGATTTATCCATGTTAAATAATAGATTGATTGCACCTTATCTCAAAATACGGGTAAATTTACCAATCCTATTTAGATTTAATGATACGAGTTTGCAGTAATCAACAGATTACAGACTTATCAGTAAAACTTCTGACTAAGATAAAATAAAATAATTTCCTAAGTCGATCCCCACCTTCCCAAATCAATAATCATTATCAGTCGTACCTAGTTTATCAATCTCGCTATTCCTAAACCTGAACAACTAAAACGCATCCAAAGGTCGATGAACGCAATCACAGCTGTTCAGCCACGTTACATGCAAAGCTACTGCCCTACTGACTGATCCATCTTCAACATTAAATGCCACCCGTTGCTACTTCAGAACATTATCACTGCACTGTGAGCACAAATAGTCGTTATATTCCTATAAATTGCGATCGACTTATACTTAATCATTAATAATATTACAAAATAATGGTTGTGTGCGCAAAATTGTATAAATTCTTTATTGTAAAAATATAAATATCTGCGACGCTTATTTTCACATGTGCAGTAAAACTGTGCACATTCTTAGTATGTTGTTATTGTTGTTTCTGTAGTACAGTTGTTGTTGTTGTTGCTGTTAGCGTTGTCTCCATCCTTCCTCTTGCAACAGCTCAACATCGATGTCTAGAATAAGTATTTTGATAAAAATAGACCGACTGCCAAGTCAAGCGATCACTTGAATTTATTGCTCTCTTAGTGATCTCCTTTATGCGTCGCATTTCGTCCATAGTCTCGTGAGTAGATCACAACCACTACCAGACCGTGGTAGTGGCAAAGTTGTCCCAAAATATCAAACAAAATTAGATGATTGACTACGCCATTAGCTGCTCTGATAACTAAACTTACTGATCTTGAAATGCAAGGAAAACGTATACACTTAGGACATTGTTGCGATTAATTGTAACCGAAGGAAAAGAACATTGACAGTTCTTCCGCTTAAACTGTGGAATCGGATGAGATCAAGGTCGCGCGCAAATACTATGGGACTCCCGTTTCAATGTATATCACATCACACATTTTAAGGGTTTCAAAACTATAGTCTATACTTATAGTCTGGCGTTTATCGGAGACGAGCCAGCCAACGGCTGAAAGTCTCCTTAATAAAGATATAAAAAAAACAAAAAAAAAATAGTAGGGCGGATAGAATTTCGATCTATCAAAAAGCGGAACCAATTCCAATATAAACAAAACGTTGATTGTTCTTTCCTCGCCAATCAAACGCAAATTACCAGTATCATCGGATAGAGAAACTTTCCCCAACCCAAAGATGTTGTTAGTTTGCGTAGGCGAGCCTTGAGTCAGGAGAAAAGGGTTTCCGACATTTTGTCCGCAATAGTTGATGTGCAGGGCAAGTCAATTGAACAAGTCAGTTGAAGTTGAACCAGGCTCAACTTTTCAAGCCAATTGAATTCAACTGAGTTGATCATTCGACTTGCCTAATCTAAACCCGGCTTAACCGTCATACTATAATGTCCCATCGCAATGCTGTCCTGTATGCGGAAATTGTTGGAGAAAATGATTCTTTTTCGTCGAATGGTTACCCTAATAAACAAATACTATAAACGAACTGTACCCCGGATGGGTAAACTATCTCACAAATGGTTTGGATGATAACCCGAACACGTCGTTAAGCTCTTTTTTATGGTTATTTTTATTAGAGTTACTTTCAGATACGCAAAGGAACTGTCTTGCGTTGCTTTCATCTGAAATTCAACTGGCCTATGCGCAAAAATAGCAAAATTTAATGGGTTCAGTTTTCTTGGACATTCAGGGGGCTTTTGATTCTGTTTGTATCAATGTACTTGCGGATAAACTCCACGATAGTGGGTTTTCACCAATTATGAACAACTATTTGAGGAACTTGTCTGAGAAATAAATGAGCTTTTCTCATGGAAAATCGACAACTTCACGAATTAGTTACATGGGTCTCCCCCAGGGCTCATGTTTAAGCCCCTTCTTTATAACTTTTATGTAAAAGACATTGATGGTTGTCTTGATGAAAATTGTTCGCTAAGGCAGCTTGCAGATGACGGCGTTGTTTCCGTCACCGGCTTAAGTGCAAGATACCTTAGATACGGCATTGCAAGATACCTTAGATATTTTTCTACTTGGGCTATGAGAGATAAACTAGACTTCGGCTAAAAATAAAGATTAAAAAAAAGACTACTTGGGCAATGAAGCTAGGTATCGAATTCTCTCCGGAGAAAACTGAGTTGGTTGTTTTTTTTTCTTTTTTTCTAGGAAGCATCATCCTGCACAGTTACTACAGCTTCAACTAAAGGGTAGAAGAATCACTCAAAGTACATCTTTCAAGTATTTAGGTGTCTGGTTCGATTCCAAAAGCACGTGGGGAAAACATATTGCGCATGTGAAACAAAAATGCCAACATCCGGAAGATCTGATCAGGTTGTACCGAACAACCATCTTGTCGGTTCTAGAGTACGGTAGAGTACACACATCCTGAAGCTGCAACGGGTTCAATACGCATCCTCAAACAAGATTCATGAGTCTCTATTACGAGTACATGACACTGGAGATTAGCCCTTCTGCATTCAATTCCAATCGTGTTTGCCTCCAAGACTTTTATAGTTCCTCTGTAAATATTGATCTAACCATGTTGCAAGAAATCCGTGAAATATCAGATATCCATCGGTCGATAATTGTTCCCTTATTTTTTGCAAACAAGTACCACCATGTCAGTAACAATAGGAGTTTTTCACAGATGGGTCAATTATAAACGCTTCCACAGCACAATGGTCCCAAAGCCGTATTTAGGAAGACAAAAATGTTTGCGCTAAAACCGTTGGTTTTAGGCATAGGGTAGAGCGCTACTTCGTCGTAATCGCCCATTTCCGTTCTATCGATCAGAAAAGATCAATAATATCAATGATTTCACCGTACACAAATCAATAATAGGTTTGTTCCGATGCGTTAGTTCATTAGCTACAACATAAATCCTGTTAGAGCGCATTGTATGAATATTTACGCTCATTGTTCTCAAAACAAAAGAAGCACTCCTAGCGAATCCCCTTTTTCTACGTTTATCCGTAGGACGAAAAAAATTTAATGGCGTTTTAATGCGTTAGGACGGAATTGAAACTCGTAGAACGAATTTAGAATCAAGAAGCAGTATTAGATTTTAAACAATATCTCAACAATTTGTGGCTCTTTATCAAATCCAACGTATGGAAAGGTGAATAAATTTAGAAGTCATCTTTGACGGAAATATTCCATTTTTAGTTTACACTCGTTTAGAAAAGAGAGGTAAAGTGCGCGTTGTGCTTAGTAGGACGGAAATAAGATCAAAAACCCTATGGTGTCTTCGGAAAAGTTTCTTCATCTTTTTTGGCCTATCTTTTCATGTTAGTGAAACAAGGGTGGTCCATAAAATTGGTGAATTGAAAATGCGAACTTTTTTATTGTTTGAGATAGACCAATGCAATGTTCTAGAAAGTTGCAGAACATTCAATTTGCAGCAACTTTATTAAAGACACAAAATTTCCATCTCTTATGGTTCATGAGTTATGATTTGTTTAAACAAGCAGGTTATGGTGGCCCCTGAAAATTGGGTTTCTATGAATATCTTTTCATAAGTTCATTTCTCGTACAAACGGTGTTCTAGACATTTTTAGAACTTTCAACACACTTAGATTTTTCTACCGAGATCGGCTGTGCAAATCTCGGCAAAAAAAGTTTTACTGAGATATCAGCAAACATTTCATTTGTTTGCTGAGATTCAGCTAAGCATTATCCGAGACTCAGCAATCAAATGTCACTTTTGCTGAGATCTCAGTGAAACTTATTTTGCCGAGATTTGCACAGCCGATCTCGGTAGAAAAATCTAAGTGTGAATGACAAATATTTTTGCTCAAGCAACCAAGTTGCTATATTTTTCTATTGAAAAGTAAGAGGCGATTTTCTTCAAAAAATGGCACTTTTCGGTTGTCAATATCTCTAAAAGGTGCAAACCGATTTTCAAACTTTTAATTCCATTCAAAAGATCGTTGGTTTGTTCATTTATGGTGGGAACACTGCAAGGGCAATTTGTTTAAAGCATTTAATTTAATTTTTTTAAATTAATATTTTTATGCAAAAAAAAACTACCTTAACTTTTTAAATGGAGGAGATAGCTTCTGCAAAAATGTGTGCCATCAAAAGTTCTAAAAGTGTCGAGATAAAAGTTTTTGCGAGAAATCAATGTATGAAAAGATAATTAAAGATAACCTTTATTCTACGATTTACACTAGCTTATATTATAAAACATCAAACATGACCTACTGGTATTACCATAGAGGTAACTCTAAGACCAGAAGGTTCCGAAGAAACGTGCTCCAATTTTTGGCTCAGCTCTGGTACTATCTTCGGTCCCAAGCTAATCGATGCACCCCTCGAAACATAGGAAAATCTACGAACCCCTCATTTTATCTGTCAAACTTTCATAGCAAATGTGTAGTAAGAGAATTTCGACCAGAATGGGATACGTTAATCGATTTGCTTGGGACCAATAGGCTAGTCAAGTAGTGAGTCAATTTAAAATCGTTAGTTTTCACCGGTTGGTATTATTCCATCACTATTGAGAAATGATGAAGTATTTGATTTTTTTTTACAGTTGTCATTGTTGCATTTATCTCAAGGATCCGACTCTAATTGAAAGGTTTCGCTATTTATACCCTTCGGAGTGTTGAACTACCTTCCAAAGGCGCGCCCCTTTGTCAGTTAAAATTGGATTCCTTAGCAACAAAATTAAGGCATGACACCGATAATGACCATGCATCAAGCCCTTGTCTTAACCACTCCAACCTAGGGAACAACGAATAGAAGATTAAGAATCACATAGATGACGACTAACTAACTCAGTTTTTCCTTATTTCAAAATCATCCTCGGTGGACAAAGCCGAGTCTTATCACTATCAACAAGGCATAAAAAGTAACAAGGACTAAGATGTGTTCCTTTGATTACTGATTACTGAAAAATCCTGTTCCCCTAGTTTGGAGTAGTCAGGACTAGGAAACGGTGGTAGATCTTACATCCCGTAACGTACCACGAAAAGGTGATCTACCCACGTTACGGGGCTGTGCTACTATGGGAAGGAAAGGGTAAAGGTAGTTCCAAGAACTTCGCTTGCCCTCGGTAATTCTAGGATTTCTGAGTATTACTTTTGCGCTCGATGTTGGGAGGGAGTCCCGACATTCCTTAAGCTTCAAATGTACGGCAATTTCGGCTGTTGTTAAATATCAAAGAAAATTTTGGCAGTTTATAGCAGTAAAAGTTGCAGGGATATTCCGGTAGTTTTAGGAGTTCTGAGAATATATAATAGAAATTTTAAGAATTACGAGAGTTTCGAGTCCACCAGATTATCTGGATGTTACACGATTGTCACACGTACATGAAGTTCCGGATTGCTCGCAATTTTTAAAAATCTCGGAAATCTGATAATTCTGAGCGTTCTTCTGTTACGATTCGGTTAGGCTACTTTATTAAATAGGCTTTCAACGATTCTATAACATTCCCCAGGAAACCATTTCCCAGAATGAACCATTCCCCAGAAAAGCATTCTCCAGAATGTACCATTCCCCAGAAAAGATGATGAAATTAGTAATTTATCACTTTTTTCAGTCAATTGATATTATATTTAAGTTTTATATTACAGAATAGCTTAATATACATATTTTATTCATTACAAAAGGGCATAGCATTGATGATACACTACGTTTACTTTTATGGAACTATGTATTTATCAATTCCAAACCATTTTATAGCTCCTAAGAAAATAATAACCTTCAAGTTCTCGAGCACTTCGTTCATCATTTAAAAAATTATGCAATCCAATTCAACCAGTCGGAAACTGTTAAACCTTATCGAAGAATTGTTCGACCTGAGTTGAAGAATTTCTCGTGATGGATTAAAAAAATCGGTGCATGGAACGTTGAACTACCGATTACAAATTTATAACATTATTCCACACGTTATTATCCCGAATGGGCATTACCCCGAATCCCTTGCGAAAAACTATTGATTATAGATTTTCCTTATTTAAAAAAAGAAGGGAATATTCCCTTCTTTATCATATATCTAAAGAATTAAATATTTCCAGGGAAAACCCTTTCATCCATTAAGAAGTTTTTCTTTTCTTTTTATATACGCGAAAGAAGATTCCAGGAGTGACTATAATAAACAAAAATAGTCAATCTAATACATGGCATACTTTTCTGGGGAATGGTGCATTCTGGGGAATGGTTTTCGGGAGAATGGTTTTCTGGGGAATGTTATAGAATCATTTTCTCTTTTATATATTCAAAAAGGGGAATATTCCTTTATTTATCGTATATCCAAAGAATTAATTATTTCCTTTTCTTATATTTTCAAAGAAGGGAAAACCCCTTGATCCATTAAGGTCTCCTAAAACCCCTTGACCAATTAGGAAGTTTTTCTCTTCTTTTTACATAGGGGAACTAGGGGCAAGAAGGTCACCCTAACGATAGCGCGTTTTGACGTAGGACTACGTCTGTGATTTCTATATGGAGGTACACTTTGTGAAAACCGAAAATGGAACATGTAACAAAATTATGAAAGATTTTGAACGTTAATAACTCAGCTGCCCCTGGACCAATTTCAATAATTACATCACCATATTTCTACGCATCTTTCATCAAGACTTCATCATTCGTCAAAATGTCACTATTGAAAATTGCACGAATGTGCAACTGTTGCTATGATAATTAAAAGTATCACCGATTGCCTGCGAAAAGCGATTTCCCTAACACAGATTTCAAAGTTGAATTCCATCCGGTCTCACCAAACAGTGTTTATTCAATCACCGTGTGGTGAGTGGTGGTGTTCTCCAGTACACAACGAACGGCTCTCCACAAGTAGCGAGCTGCAGCCCACATGAGCATCCATAGAAGGAGGAAGAAGCCGCACCGCTATTGATCGGAATCAGTAGCTCTTCGTGAGTTGCTGTGGGCCATCTATGTCAAGTGCATCATACTAAAGAGTATAAACAGAAAGAACCCCGCTCAAATTCCTCTTCCTACACAAAACACAAGCTCCTGCTGCAGTTAACAAATAAGATTGATTATATAAGACCACGTAGTCCTACGTCACCATTGCGTACAACCCCATAGGGCTGTCCCTTGTAGTTTTTATATGTGATATTTATAGGAGTTTGTTAATCGAATTGTAAGTTTATAACCTTGTCTCCATGTATCATCATTGAAATTAAAATTAAACCCCATCAAAAAATGTTAATGATTTTTTCAAAATGTCATGTCGAACCTGCTCTAAAATATGCTACGGGGCAAGAGGGCCACTCTTATGGGGCAAAAAGACCATACGTCTAAAATGAAGTGAAACTGATAAATGTTCATTTCTAAACAACAAATTACTATTCTTAGGTATAACAGCAACTGCTTTTATTGTTTATTCCACTAAAATATTGACTTAACGATATATTTTTTTTATATCTAAAACAAATAAACCATGTGCGTCAAAGATTCAAATGGAAACTATTTTTGATACTATTTCATACAGTTTGTTTTCCAAAATTTCACGAAAACAATGTATATTGGAAACATAAATGCCCAATTGTGTTAATTTCTGAACATTTTTGTACAATTTAATACATAAATGTAGGGGTGGCACTCTTGCCCCGTATAAAGTTTATTTTTAGGAATAATTTTTGATTAATTAAACAAAATATTTATTAATTTATTGTTATTAATGTATCAAGCAATCATCAATATTGATGTCTCAATGCAGAAATTGTGAAAAAAATAAATTGGAAATTCCGAAAACCTTATTTTATGATGCCTTATTCTTATAAAAAACTAGCTTTTCAATGCATCAACACAAAATGATTTTTTGCATTTTTTACGACTTCGATTCGGACAGAACTTTTTAGAATGCTTCATAGGAATACCGTGCATAGGTTCATCATGAGATAAAATTGAAATGATTTCATTTTCAAAATATATTGAGGGTGGCACTCTGGCCCCGGGTGACCTTCTTGCCCCTAGTTCCCCTACGCGAAAGAAGATTCCAGGAGTGACTATAATAAACAAAATTAGTCAACCCAATACATGGCATACTTTTCTGGGGAATGTTATAGAATCGCTTTCAACTATTGGGATCTACTATTTTGAAAAGCTACAAAAAGATATTACTACCCATAAACGTACAACAGTTCCATTTGAATGGGTAAAAAAGCAAAGATGTGACTGTTATGCTTTCATGGGCAGAATGGTGGGAGAACATTGAGAATCGATGAATAGACCAACCACTAGTGAAAGAAAACTACAAGTGAAAGTTTTTGTATAAACACATTGTTATCAGAAATTCTCTGCCATTTAAATACTCAATGATGCAATCCAATAAGCATTTCGGTTTATCTTATCACTCATAAAGAAGTAGGTACATGCCCTGCTCACGTCGAATGAAAATAATACAACAGTATATTTATGCGTATTATAAACTGATGTATTGCGATGACTCAGGATTCATTCTCCCAACAGTTAAAGCTTTATCGTTTTCCACTGAATCCTGGCCTGTTCTAAGGCAACTCATATTTTTAGGGTTAAACTTATGTCGCTTGATGATATCGACCTTAACGGGCGACGACAGTGAACATAGCGTCTTATAAAGCACAAACTCTTCTTCGTTGTTCGTGGGCAATGATATAAAAGAGAAATTAATCAACCTAATAGAGAATCCCGTAGCCCGTTGTGTCGTACCGTGCGAGGTGCGGCTGGAGGCAATAACGAATGTGCCGAGTACAAAAGATACATCTACCGCGAAGGATAAGTCTGTCTGACGACAACCAACGAATTGCTTCCGTTCCTATTTATCGTTACAAAACTTTCGACAGACCAGTTTTATTTTTTTTTTTTTTTTTTCTTCAAAATCTGTAGAAATCCCACAGAAAATGTTATCAGACTTCAAAGGAATAAGTAAAAAACGAAGCAAAAAGCACAACTTGTCCGCCGTGTCTGACTCACCGATCGTGCTGATGAAGGTCGTGTTGAAGGCATCCTCGGAGAAACGGAACAGGATGCACGTCTTGCCTACACCGGAATCGCCGATCAGCAGCAACTTGAACAGGTAATCGTACGTTTTCGCCATTATTTGCTACTGCTGCGAGACAGGTTTTCCTTTTTTCTCTACTGCTTCTGTAGGGAGCCTTTAGCCTCGGGGGTCAGATGAATGGATGGATGATTTTGTTTTTCGTCTCTCTTTCGCTGCTCTACACTTGCTGCTTCTGCTTTAACTTTACAGTGCTTACACAAAAAAAACTTCACCCCGCACTCGTCTCGAAAGTTATTTTTTCCTTCGCACACACAGACAGGATCGCCCTTTTTTTTTGCTTCAACTATTTTGCACAACTTCTTTGTTTTTTCGACCCTGCACAAAGATTTCCACTGCAAAACGAGCCTATCAGTAAAAAAAAAGTAACAAAAGGCTGGTAAAAAATATACCACAGATTAGCAAGCAAACCAAAGTCCCGCGAGCAGACGGAAAATGAGAAAAAAAAATACGCCAGCCAGGTTAGACACACACTCCGATCCGATGACTTGTTCCGGGGCCAAAGACGGGACGGCGATGAAAAATACTTTTAGCAGTAGTATTTTACACCTTTTCTACTACTACTCCGCTGATGAATGATGGCTGGTTTTTGACGTTTGGTTGAGTGTTGTCCCGTTTCGATCGGCGAGGGATAGCCAAAGAACATGCTGAGGTGAATATGTGTGACAGCTAGGATGACGCGTCCTCAAAATTTGGCTGCATGCCACGATCGATAAGGGAACATGGGGCATTGGGCTTTTTTACGTTAATCGCCCGCATAAACGCGAACCATAAGTTTACCTTACCGACAATGGCTGAAATTTTTTTATAATCCCTGCTAAACTTTAACTGAAATGGTTATGGAACTTTACATGAACGTTTGTGTGATAAAGTTTTAACCTTATGTATAATGGTTCTTTGGAAGTGAACCTTCCAATAATGGATTGTTAAGAACCATTACCATTCAAAATAGTTGTTTTCTCCATACAGGTTCGGAGAGAGAACCATATTAGAACCTTTTATCTTATGGTTTGAGAACTTTAATGGTAATGGTTATGGTAGCCAGTAAGGTCCATTCATGGTTTTGTATTATCAGTCAACTTTACGTGGAATAAACGCGAATTGGTAATCAGTAATTTACCGGCAACCAATTCGTGATATATTCCACATAAAGTTGATCGATGTTTCTAAACCATCTATAATCCTTTCCGACTTCCATAACCATTACCATTAAAGTTCTCAAATCATAAATAAAATGGTTTCAATACAATTCCTTTCCCAAAAGTGTATAGAGAAAACAAGAATTTGGAATGGTAATGGTTCTTAATACCCCGTTCACATTACAGCGTATATCACGCTGTCTTGCAACGAGCACTCATGCATTTAGTTTTCACTGGAAATCCTATGTATGAGTGCTCATTGCAAGACAGCCTATATTACGTGATATTGGCTGTAATGTGAACGGGGTATAACAACCCTAATAAACAAATACCATAAACGAACTGTATCCCGGATGGGTAAACTATCCCACAAATGGTTTGGATGAACGCCGAACACGTTGTTAAGCTCTCCTTTATGGTTATTTTTATTAGGGAACCCATTATTTGTGAGGTTCACTTCCAAAAAACCATAATACATAACTTTAAAACTTTATCACACAAACGTTCATGTAAAGTTCCATAAGCATTTCAGTTAAAGTTTAGCAGGGATTATAAATATTTTTTAACCATTTTCGGTAAGGTCAAGTAATGGTTCGCATTTATGTGGGTGGCGCACCATTATTAACTCTTCAAGCCTTAAACTTATTCGTATCCAATCAAAATCACGTTATGTATTAACTATTTTTGTAACATCTTGGGAAATTTTCAACGGATTTCTGATAGTTGAAGATGCTAATTTCAAATAACAGACTGAAGTGGTAAATTTTATACTATAGATGAGGAGATGAAAGTTTAGAATTGATAGTTCCGTTTAGAGTACGGCAGTGTGAAAATTGCATATAGAAGACAACTTTTAGGAAGGTACAACTCAGTTTTATCATCTCTCTTAACCAAACTCCCCCTTTGGAGAGGGAAGGTGAGGGGTGCCCCCTCCCTCCGCCACCACTGGCAAAAATTGAAAATTGGATTTCTGATGTTTTTATTTTGTCGGAAACGACATTAGCAACCAGTGGAAACAAACGAATTTAAATTGGCTCACTACTTGACTAGCCTATCCAGCTTTCCATGCTCGGTAATGGTGGGAATGGGTAACATTTTACTCATTTACTCACAGCAAAAAAAATGTAATATCGATCAATGTAATTCAAGCTGATGTATGAAATTATGATGTAATAGCAAAAAGCAGATACAATATTACATCAATGGATGTAATTTTGTTCGCAAAACGTTAAATATATTACACAACCGATGGATTGACCTGGTTGCAGCAGTTTGGATGTAATATTCAACAACTTTTTTTTTCTGTGAAGTCACCTTGATCATGCATTCATGGCATTCATTCGACTTCAACATTCGGCAGAGGCAATCACAGCCTCGACGGCACAAAACTGGACAACTTGACATTAAATAACTACTATCATATTTATATATTCACCACTCTCCCGATAAAGACATCAGTTTGACAGTAAAACAGTAAAAAAACATTCAAAGTGGATCACCCATCAGTCGCGAAACAGGGAGAAGGGGGAGAAGAGCTTGAAAGAGCTGTCAGAAGTAGTCACAGAAGGAATTTTGTCGAGTGATACGACTGACTGACTGACTGATAGTGAAAATTTTTGCATCAGTTTTTTTTCCTCCGCTACCGTTCTAAAATCCTTGTGTTTTCCGTTATCTGTTACGAATCGTTTATAATAATTTTCATTGTCGTCGCGAGTGTTGTAAGCCAAAAAAAAACATTCCAGTCCAATTATTGCGTAAAATTAACAGCAGAGAAAAGTTCTACGCAACAGAGGAAAGTGGGAGAAAAAAACAGGAAAATTTCCGTTCCCCGCTCCGTTAGATTCTTTGTGAAAGTAGAAAAAAGCAAATCCTAGTGTAAGTCGTGAAAAAAGAATAGTGTAGATAAGGACAACCGGAGGTACTGGATGATGACGAAATTCGGATCCCGTTAGTATATCGATAGTGGAAGTTTAGTGGCCCAAGTGTGGAATTTTCTGGATATGGCTGCTGTCCGTCAACGACGACTACTGCAATAATTGTAATTTCTACATAATCACCTGATTCCGCAAGCTTGCGGTTTGTGTTGTGTGTGCATACCCCTATAGTACCCTGTTTTTAGAGTGTCGTGCTAGCTGCTGCTGTTGTCTACTTTTTTTCCCTGTACCCCGACGGCAGCTCCTGCTCTTGCACTTGTTCGCCTTTCCTGCCATTCTTCCGTCCGTCCATCAGCCAGACCGATGATAAAGGCCAATCGTTGTCGTCCGTCGCAGAATAGTACCAGTGCTGCCAGGATGCGAGATTCCAATTGTGGTGATCAATCTGTACTGCCGCTCTTCGCATGTCGGTGCCATAGTTTTTTTTTTTTTTTTCGTTTGGTTTGTTTTTTCCGTCGATCTTGTTTTCCGTGCTGACCACCAATGCTACCGACGTGCCAGGAAGGCAGCTCCCACACCTGGACCTTACCTATCGACCCATCAACTCATGAACCGGGGCCAACGGCTTTACTTCCCATCCGAAGGAAGGCGTGATCAGATATATTATGCCTCAGAACATCCCGGCGGCGCCGACTGGGATTGAACCCAAGCCTGCTGGGGTGAGAGATAATCACGCTTACCACTACACCACCGGCGCCGTTTGGTCCCATAGTTGTTTTTGTCAAAACTGAGTTTTTCAATGCAAATGCTAGATAATCACGCATATTTTCACAATACTGGATGAACTCAACAACTTTGTTCTGAAAAAGTTTGGAAATACAGTCAAATTAGTTGTCCCATCACATAAGAAGCAATGGTACGAAGCAAACTTAAAACGTGATTTTCTCGGCTTACTGATTTTCGCTATGGGACGGACATGCGAATAGCGGCAGTATATTTATAGTCAGGTGAATACAATTTCGATCTATCAAGAAGCGTAACCAATAGAGCATCTTACG